ATATTTAAACTATTAAACAATTGGATTACTTTGTGAAAGCACTAAAAATGGTTTCATTTATTTATCTGCACAATATATTCTCTTCTTTTGATAGTAATTACAAGCAGATGTATCAACGAGATGCTCATTTAGATTTGGGTTTGTAAGAACAAAAGTTATTATCCAAGCCAATTACTCTTTTACCCACATGGCTGCACAGAGACAGAAAGTTCAATTTTCACCTCATCAGTGATTTTGTGGTATTTATTTTATTACTATAACACACCACTGTACAGAAAGGAAACTGCTTGTGCTATTAAACAAGAATTGGGGGAAAATTGAGTACCTTCTCAATTAAAATAAGAGATGATTCACAGTGCAGACTCCCCACTCAGACTGATGGTGAAATGATCAATGCTGGAGCGGCAGATTCCACTCAGCACAAGAATGGAAATGCTTAATAAAAAAAAATCAAATCAAACCTGATAAAAGTCTCTCTCTCAGCTTAAATGTATGGCAAGTGACAATTCTACATTTGTAGGAGCTGATACAGATGGTATCATGGTTCTCTTCCATCTACATTATCCACCAATCTGTATTATCCAAAGTCTAAAATTTAAGCTATCTTGAACCATCTTGATGTAGAACAAGAAAAAGATGAGAACAGCAGGGCAAATATTGCACTATTGCCAATATAATGCTCAACAAGAATGAGAATTATTGTGCTCAATCATAAACATGAAGTATACTGGAGTATATGGAACAGGTTGAAGTGTTCAGTACAGTTAAGTTCAGTACAGTTAAATCTTGTTCTACTTTGATACAAAAGCCATTTCAGAGTGGAGAGCATTTTTATCATGTAGTAAAGCCAACAAATCTGATTCGCCATGTAAATCTGTTTTGCAGATGCATGTGGTGCATAGTTTCTAAGATAGTCCAATTCTTCTATAAATGCACCACAACATATTAATCTGTGAAACAATCTGTACTATCGGTAACTAAATCACTTTCCATGTCTAGCTATTTATGTTATTTGCATATTCTAGAGGTCCCGAGAAACATCCTTCATTCATATCTTTAACTCTATTAATGAGAGAATATTAACTTCTACTGTGTATTCAGGATGTCACAGAAAGTATCAACTTTTAGAAAAAAACAACCAACCAAAAAACCCCAAAGAAAGCTGCATAAGCATCAGTTCAGCGGTTATAAATTAGGCATTTTCTAAACAAAAATAAAAAATAATTGAACCTATGCACCTACCAGCTATGGATAGCAATGGCTAAAAAGACATTGTTATTTAGAAGCTTTACAATTACTGCATGAGGAAGACGTGTCACAGAAAGTATCAACTTTTAGAAAAAAGCAAACAACAGAAAAACCCCAAACAAAGCTGCATAAGCATCAGTTCAGCGGTTTTAAATTAGGCATTTTTTAAACAAAAATAAAAAATAATTGAACTTATGCACCTACCAGTTATGGATAACAATGTCTTTTCAGCCATTGTTATTTAGAGGCTTTACAATTACTGCATGAGGAAGACACCTCTTTATGGTTCTCAAGCTTTATGAGAAGAAATGCAATTACAACACATACTGTGGCGTGGGGAAAGGGGGACAGTGCTTCACAATTCCCCCCATGAGCTAGATTTGCAGGGTCTTATCCAGCTGCTGCTATGACTGAGAAATACTGTATGTCTGAGTAAACAATAATTTTAACCCTATTCTGACACCTGTGGGCAAGCTATTCCCATATGACAAATATTCTAGCAATACTTATGTGAAAATAGCATCTGTGCTTATTTGACTCCAACCTTGTTTCATCCTAACTACTACAAACACAACTTACGCTCCATTTCTACCCTCGCATGGCAGTATGGACTGCAAAGCACAAAAACATTACTGTCTGAATTACTAATTTCTCTCAGAAGCACTGCGAGTTGAAACATTGATTTCTTGAAGCCGATACTGTCTGTGAACAGAAAACTATTCAGTTCACTCATATTTCCTTTGAGTGGAAAGGAATTTTGAGAAACACCAAAGTATGCCTAAAAAAACCATAGCTACAAGTTACACAAGTTTATAGCTACAAGTAAGGAAAAGACAGGAAGTAAGGAATCGTAGGTGATAATTTCCCAGCTGGATTTCACAACTATTTAATAATAAAAGCTTTTTATGTCGGCACGCTGGGCATGTACAACAGCTGGCAAAACAGCACTGTTTGCCATTTTCTTTATAATGGGAAATTAGGGGTAGCTTGTGTGTCACTGGATGTGCATTTCCAAGCAGATGCCATAGATACCAGAAATAGAAAGACAAAGAGAAAGTCAAGGCAGGACAGAGCCCGTGCTCCACTGTAAATTAAGCTCATTGGTGCACATGAAGAGTTGAAAGACCATAGATAATACAGAGCTTTCAGAGTAGCTGAACTCTTATAATTTATTTTTTTTCCTCACAATTCATATAGGACAGGACTGGAATACTGTCCAGAAAAAGAATCAGAGATCTCATTGCACCTTATCCATCATTTCAAGAGTAAGCAATATTTTAATACTACGTTATATTGGGATTTATTTTACAAAGATAATTAGTCTCAGGCTGCTCATTCTGGTTATACCATTTCAAGTAGCTTCAATCCCTAGCTTCTGGTAACAGTCTTAGAACTACAGAGAGCCTATTCTTCAGGTTCTCTCTCACTCAAAACTCCCTTGAATTTAAATTAATAATAATAGTAATAATGTTATATTGGGATTTATTTTACAAAGATAATTAGTCTCAGGCTGCTCATTCTGGTTATACCATTTCAAGTAGCTTCAATCCCTAGCTTCTGGTAACAGTCTTAGAACTACAGAGAGCCTATTCTTCAGGTTCTCTCTCACTCAAAACCCCCTTGAATTTAAAATAGTAATAACCCAAAATTGTAAAAATGGGTATTTTTCAATTCAGCCAATTACCTTCATTGGTTTTTAAAATATATTTGAGGAAACCACATTGAAATCATCAGTCAAAATTCACAGCTTAGAATAAAGCAGCAAAAATACCCCTGATACAAACATTTTAAGAAGGCTTTAAATGTTTTCATGAGGAATTCATTTATAAAAAGAGCAAAAAATCAGATTTCAAAGAGAAAACCTCTATTTGTGAAAGAGGTGAACAGAAGTCTTTCCCCAAATTTGCCATATCGTTTATGCGAGGAAAAAAAACCAAAAACCAACCAAATAAAAGAACCACTTTTAGTCTCAAACAACATAAACATTTATATCTATGCTCATGCTAGTCCAATATACAGTTCCATTTATTTGAGACACGTTACTTGCAGGATCACAGTTATGCATACAGTATTTGCAGGACTTGGACCTTACAGCTGAACAACCACCTGGTTTCAGAACTTTTTAACCATATCCTTGAGGGGAGGGAATAAAGCACAGAAAACTTTTGGATGCACCCATGATGACACTGAAGTCCTTCCTCTCCTACCCCTCAAAATGCTCATTCTACTGAGAATTTTTTAACACTTTCAGTCATAGATGGCATACTATTAAAAACTGCATCTATGTGGAGTCAGAACATTATGGGATCAACTAATAACCTAGGAGACAGCAGCCTGCTCATTTACTGTGGTCTCTGGCAGAATAAGAAGTATGTTATTTCAGACCTGTGAACTTTGAGAAAATCGTAGTGCTGATTTGTTGTATGCCTGGACAGTCACTGGCTCAACAGGTACTCGTGGTAAAATAAGCTGTTTCTGAGAAGCACCAAAAGGAAGGCCCCTGATTTAGAAAAAAACAAACAGTGAGATTTTTAAAAATTACTTTGATTTTACTTATTAAACCCATACTGCTTCCACCTTGTTGAATCTGGAAGGCAATAGATTTATTTAAATTTGTATTTAGCAAAAAAAAAACCAAATCACAGGACTTAGCAGAAGGTTGCTGTAGCTACTTAGAACTGCATTAATTTTGTATTTTTTTTAAACTTAAAATAAAATCAAAATAGCAAATGACCAACATAACCTCATCTGGGCCAATATTCCCATTTGCTTTACAAGATTCTGATACCACAGTTTTTCTGTCTTGCTACTGGCATTGTCTCTGCAATAAAACAGCTGTTCCACTTACCGCTTAGGGGGCTCTTTTGAATGCACTTCTTTATTATTAGTAGAAGAAATAGTTAACTCTTGTCTGTTTACAGCATTTAAATAATTTTCAGCATGTGTCTGTTGGAAGGAAAAAATAATGCTTAGACTATTACAAAGGTATAAGGGATACTAAATTTATTTAACTCAGTTAATTTAGCAATCCAGATCTTCACTTGACTGAAAAGTTGATTGGCTTTGTGGTTCTGTCAGACTAAATGAGATTTTGGCTCTAAGTGAATTACTGACTAAAAAACTGAATCATCTTTTGGATTTAATTAGTAGAAGAAATAGTTAACTCTGGTCTGTTTACAGCATTTAAATCATTTTCAGCATGTGTCTGTTAGAAGGAAAAAATAATGTTTAGACTATTACAAAGGTATAAGGGATACTAAATTTATTTAAGTCAGTTAGTTTAGCAATCCAGATCTTCACTTGACTGAAAAGTTGATTGGCTTTATGGTTCTGTCAGACTAAATGAGATTTTGGCTCTAAGTGAATTAATGACTCAAAAATTGAATCATCTTTTGGATTTCCTCCATTTTACTTACTCTCAGCCCAAGTTCAGTTCTTTTAGTTGCTGTATCCAGGTCACTAATGTCCACAGTTTCTACTTTTCCTTTCAAGTTGATATTTTTCACTTTGACTTTAAGCTTGTGAAGATCTTCTTTAACCTGGAAAGCAAGTTATGACAAAAATCACACCCATACCCAAACCCCATGGCATTATGTAGCAGGGTTTAATCCAAAATAAATGTTTCCTAAATACAGAAAAAAAAAAAAGGCAACATCCTATATTTCTGTACTTTTACAAGTAATACATATCCTTTAAAGTCATTGATCGTAGAAAACCTGAGGAAAAAGTCCATTTTAAATCAAACAGCAATGTTGAATCAAAAAGCAATGGCAGTAGCAACATCCTATATTTCTGTACTTTTACAAGTAATACATATCCTTTAAAGTCATTGATCGTAGAAAACCTGAGGAAAAAGTCCATTTTAAATCAAACAGCAATGTTGAATCAAAAAGCAATGGCAGTAAACTTCAGGACTGAGGTCCTTTGCCAAGGAATTATCTTTCCTTACACATTTCAAACACCTCTCTTGGCTTAACTCTGCAGGAATCTCAAAAGTGTTAAGGAGGGACTGAAAGGTAGAGGCCACCTGTGAGGAAATCACGTCAACCCGGATCAAAAATACATATTTACCCTGTGTTAACCAAAAAAGTTCAAGGCCGCATTATGCTAAGAACCATAACATTTAGGAGGCCCAAGCCTTTCTCCAAATTTCACCGGCGACGCCGCAGCCGCTCCCTCAGGCAGGGGCTGAGCCCGCCCGTCCCCTCAGCAGCAAAAGGCCGCGCCGCCCGCGCCTCAGCCGAGCTGTGAGGCGGCCTCCCCGGGGCAGGAGGGGTCCCGCAGGGGGTCGGCTGCCACGGAGGGACGGGACCGGCTCCGGAGCTGCCCAGACCCACCTGCACCAGGTCGGCTCCCGCCTCCCGCCCGGGCTCCAGCGAGCCGGCCATGGCGGCTGCCGCCCTCGCCCCTAGCAACGGGACGCGCGGGCCGGACCGCACCATCCGCCTCGCCGCGGGCAGGAGCGCACGTCAAACGGGGGCCGAGCCCGCTCTCCAGCTCCCTCCTCCCCAGAAGGGTTCGTCCACTCGCCTCTCCCTCCCCTCTTCTCCCCCCCTCCCGCAAGCGGGTGGTAGCGGCGGGGCCGGAAGGGGCGCGGCGGCGGCGGGCGCCATGGCGGCGGCGGGGCCCTTCGCGCTGGTGACCAGCTGCGCCGCCGGCTTCCCGGCCGAGGAGCTCGTCAAACGTGAGTCGTCGTCGTCGTCGCGCTGCGGGGGCCCGGACAGGCTCAGCCGTGGGGTCCCGGCCTCCCTGCAGCTGCAAGGCTTCGGCCCCGCAGCTCCGCACCCCCAGGCCGCGCTCTGAGGGGAGCCCCCAGGGGCGGCCGGTCTCCCCTCACGCACCGTCCCCTCAGCGGCTGAGCCCTCTAAGGAGGGAGGGATCCTCCGGATCCCTGCCTGCCCCCGGGCCTGTGGTGTGTAACTGCCTGCCCTTGAGGAGGGCGTCAGGGGCCTCCTTAATTGCTTTAAGGAAATAAGCTAGTTAACAGACAGTGCAGAGCCCCACGTTGTGTGTTTCGCCCCCTCCGACCCTGAGGGGCAGGAGAGAGCATCGCCACAACCCACAGGAAAAAAAGGCAGCCCCACATCCCAAAATGTCCTATTACCTGCTGGCCACTTGCCATGCCTTAAGTGCAAATAAACCGTTGTTAAGTCATACCTGGGCGAAATAATTTGAGAATTGCTTTGAGACTGAACAAAAATAATACTTTGTTCAATAAGAAACAAAGAACAGGTTGATGGGACCATCAGGTTTGGTGCTGGCCATTCTGATCATTCACAGGCAGAATGAAAAAGTGCCCTTGTTTGATTGGGAAATGGTGGTGGGCCCTGGAATGAGAAGGGGACACCAAAGCAACCAGAGTGGCTCAGGAGTATAGGCACGGGGAAAACAAAAGCAGACTAAATATTGTCCCTCTGGCTTCATCTTTCTGTTTTTGAAGCAAACAGACTATCTGGGCCCCTACGGATGGTAGTATTTCTAAAATTCCTGGTGGGTCTGGACTTCCTGGAAAGTCTCGCTTTTATGCATTAGACTATTTGTTTTCCCAATGCAGAAGCACAAAAAAGGGAAAGCAAAAAAATTCTTCCTCTCTGCAGTTGTCAGAATTGTAGATTGCACTTAGTCCATCTCAAATACATAGGATTCATTCTGTAGAAAGTGGTTTTCTTGGAACCTAGTTCCCCTTTTATGGCTTGAAAAAGGGAACACAAGAGTAAAACCTGATAGTAGAGAAAACTTCGGTGGAATTTTCAGTAATTCTAAAACCAGGGGGATTCCAGGAAGAAGCTGTTTAGATCTTGGTGGTTTTGCCATTACAACTTGTTAGTACAGCCTGGCGTTTTAGAGAACTGTCACGAACAGTTTGATGTGCATACTAAGATGTGTAACTTATCAAACACCCCCTCTGCCTTTTCTGGATTTTTAACTGTTTTTGAGTAAGATCTTAGTTTGGACCTCATAAAGCAGAGCTCTGCCTCCAGGGACTGGCTCCCTCCATCTCATTAAACAATGTTTTAAAACAAGAATAACAGTACAAGGTCTGCAGGCAGAGGCTACTCTGTCAAAGCAGCTGGGTTGATATTGAATTATTTAAGGATTGCATGTCCAAGAATATTGTTATTGGTTGGTGCTTATTTTTGAGGAAGGTATAAGCAAATTGGAAGGAATTATTCAAGGTTCTGGTGGGTTTCCTGTGATTATTTTTCATAGGGAAATTAAACAAGTAAAAAAGGAAGGTGAGCAAAAAGCTTCACAGAAATGCTATTTAATCTGAAAAAAAGTCTTAAAACTTAACTTTTTTTAAAAATAGTACTCACATTGAAATGTCTAGGCTTCCACTACTTTCTAGTACCAAAATTGGAGTCTTACAGATAGTCTTTGTGTTCTCTCAAAAGACATTATCGAGAATTGAGATCATTTACTACAATAAATAACATGAGAATTTTAAGTTCCTGCTTTGTGTAACAAGTGAAATTACATCAGATCCAGAAGCATAAGCAAAACAAACAAACATTGTAAAACATTCAAGGACATGCTGATAAGGAGAAGGCAGCTGTGGCTGGGCTGAAGGGTTTTGGTGGATTGAAGCAAAATGCTGGTGCAAGTCTCAAAGCTTGTGTTTTTACAGCATGAAAGCGCCACGTCAGATTAAAGGCATTATTTGAGGGTGGTTTAGCTCAATGCTGAGAACAGCACCATTATATTAACACCTCTGAAGCAGTACAGTGTTTGAGATACAATATGTATGGTTAAATGTTATTAAATTACTGTATAGGTTGGTAGGATCCTTGGGTTTTGAGTCTATAATCGAAACGGGAAACAAACCCTTACCAGTATTATCACAGCTTTTGCCCCATGTTGCTGGATTTCCCTGGTACATGCTCTTTTTAGGCAAACTTGTGTAAGTAAAAGGAAGCCACTTAGAGTGTTCACTGTTAGGTCTATGAGAACCAGTTTCTCCTGCTGTTTCCCAGAACTTCCCAGGCTAATTACAAGGTTTTTCCAGTGTTTTCATCCTGTTAAATAGGAAATGGCTCAAGGATGAAAATAATATTGTGGTACATTTGCTAGATATATTTTTATTCTTTCAGGTTTCCGGGGAATGCCCTGAATGCTTTCTTACATTAGGTACTCTGGCAAAACAAAGCTATTTAAAATGCACAGGGTAGGATTTGCTCTTCTTAGATACATTAATCACAAATCAAACCAGCAAATAATATGGTTTTCATTTTTAAAAATGCTGGCCAACAGGGGGCCGAGCCCCTGATATGATTTTTTTTCTTTTTTTCTTTTTTTTTTTTTCTTTTTTTGGTGCTTACCACTCCCCTCCTCCCCCACAGCATATTTCTGAGTTCTCTTTACTCCTTGTGTAATTTGCAGGAGTATTTTTTTTATGGTGTATTCCACCAGGTGGCTCTCAAGGCCCAGAATGGGAGAACTATTTGGTGTACCTACCAACTAAGAGGACTTGGGATCATTTAGGGCATTGTAGAAAACTGAATTCCGTTCATATTACATGTATTCAGTCTGAAAAACTCTGGGAGGAGTGATCAATACCTTAGTCCCTTTGGGGAAAAAAATAAATGCCAAATTGGTTCAGAAATTGTCTGTTTGGTCCTTAAATTCAAATAATACACTGTAGATGAAGAAGCTTCTATTGCTGCCAAGTGCTTTTATACAGAAACATGGGACACTGAAATACAGTGTGTCTTCATTAGTATTCAGTTACTTCAGTAAAATAAGTGTCCAGCATTAGTAGTTACAGTATTTCTTAGAGGACCTTGAACTCTAAGTCATGTTTTTGAATGACACTAAGCGATATTCTTTTGTGGCATGAATTTTTCCATGCATGTTTTTAGGACTTTTTAAGGGTGATGCATTTGGAATCTGTTTGCATTCCTGTCATCCAAACAAGCCACTTCTGCTCCATGAAAAGGCCAGTTAATTAAGTCAGCCCAGTAGCCTTTCTACTGTTGTGGTCAAAGAGTGAGTCAGTTGGTTTTCCAGGCTCTTTGGATGGCAAACCACTGACACTTTCAATGGCTGGGGAGTTTAAAATTAAATATGAGTAACTCACTAGAGATAAGTTTGACAAGCCACCTCCTTTTGCCATATTGATTTTCTAGACATTTATTCCAATCAAACATAATGGGATTTATGCTGATGAATATTTTCTAAATTAGATATGAAACTATTCTGGCTGAACTTACTTTTTTCATTAAAATACCCAATCAAACATAATGGGATTTATGCTGATGGATATTCTCTAAATCAGATATGAAACTATTCTGGCTGAATTTGGGCTGTCTCAGAAAGAAATTTCTGGAAACCAGAGGTAGCAAATGTAATCCTGAAAACCTGTTCCATCATGGAACATATCCATGACAACTCAGTTTGAGTTGCAGTGTATATTTCTTTTGTAGTCTCTGCTTGTTTACTCTGAAAGCCAAAACCTAATTGGTCTGAGTGACTTTTGTGGAAGAGAACTGTTCACAAGACGCCCAAACTGCATTTAGTTTCCTGCCATGAGTAATCAGCCTGTTTTGCAGTAATTTGTGACAACCCTACGTGTGCTGAGCCACGGCAACCCTGAAGCCTTTCAGAAAGCTCCTTTGAGTTTAGTGTGCAACATCCATTTTTACTGGGAGAGAAATTTCACAGGGGATTGGCAAAATCTCTTTGGGTGAATGCTGGGTAATCAGAAGCACAATGGGATGAAAGAAAACCGCTTAAAATACAGGAACAGTAGCATGTAATAGGAAATGGGACATGTCCTCATTCTTCTAGCAGTACTTTGAGGTCTAAATTTGTCCATGAACTCTTTTGTAAGGAAAAAAAAAAAGAATCACTTACAGAGCAAATGTGAAAGTTCTTTCACATCAGCTTTTGAAAATCTTTATAAGAAATTCTTTCCTTTTGTATTCTTGCTCAGGTGCTAACTTCACCAAGTGACTTTTGAACTGGATTCCTTTCCCCTCCCTCTTTTCCTACCTTTGGCTTTGAGTGTTACTGCTGATTTTCTGTGTTTTTCTATGGACTCCTTTATTCTTAGCTTCTTATGGTGTTGACTTGCAATTCCATTAGCTTAGAACTGATTTTAGTTACTTATTTTTAACTGTCAAAACATTAGCGAAGGGATAATGATACTGTATTTTACGTAACATTCAAAACATCTGGTTTCCAGGGCAGAAAATTAAGATTATGCCTGCATTTGAAAAGCCAGGCAACAGATAATTCCAGGAAGAAAAGGTGTCCCTGTGTTTTGGACACGCACAATGACACTGTCTGCCTAACTTGGTTCCTCTCCAGGTTGCTATATAATTTTGTCACATTCTATGTAAGCAGAGTGAACACTCCCCACATTGGCCCTAATACCCATTTAAAAGGAACTCCTCATCTGGCAGCAATTTGTACATCTTAGAGCTAATGTTTAGCAGAGATACCAAACTAAATTATCCCACCTATAACACAGCATCTAGTCATTCTTAAAGCTCCTGTTTTATAGAAGAAAAAAAAAACTTTTCATCTGCTAAACTACCTTTATTATAATACAATATGTACATGAAAGCTATAGATTTTGTGAAATGACTTGCTATTTGATGATCTCTCTTACTAATTGCTTGGGTTTTTTTTTTTTGAAGAGTAGGCTTGATGTATTTGTGTAGCCTAACTTGAAAAGCTTGGGTTTAAAACTGACAGTTTATGTTGGTGTTTCCCTGGAAGATGGGTGCAAGGTGTTTGTTTTGTGTCACTCGAGCGTAACACCAGCCAATGCCAACAGGAGGGAGATACCTGCTGCAAAGTGACTGCAGTATTATGTGAAGTGCTTTTCTCCTTCAAAAAACCCAGACAGGAGATTTCCCCCCAGGTTTCTTTTTCTGAGGTTGAATTTCTCTCTCAGATTCCCTGTGTCCTCCTCCTCCTCCCTGCTGCAAATAATCCTCCTGGTTTAGAGCTCTCCTCTGTGCTGCCTTGTGCTCCATGCTCATTCACTAGTTAGATTTCTCAGACTTTGTAGTTAGTTGCAAAAACCATCAGACCTTTCCATGGCAATCTTGGCAATGAGGTTTTTCCTGCCTTTTCATTGATAAAATACACATAGTTTCAAATTCAAGTTCCAACTATTTGGGGATATTCCAGCATCTCCAGGCATTGTGTCTCAATACCTTTAAAATATTACCCTTAAGACCTTTTTAAACCCATATACTTTATTTCTTCATTTTTATTAACTCTTCTTATGCTCAAATAAATTCTAGATGGCTCAGCCAATTTAATATATAATTGACCTGTGTTATAAAGTGTCCAAGATAAAGTGTCCCTTTCCAGCAAAGTATAAATTGGATGCTCAGCTTCTAACTATAATTCAACTCCACCAGGTGGCTGTCACGCTATGAGAGCGTGCGCTGGGAAGGTTGTTACCAGCACATGAAGGGACAGTGTTTAACATTATCTTATCAAATCACTGCCTTGGATTTTAATTGTCGAACTCCTACGTGGAATTTAATGGGATTTACAACTGAATTGTAGTCACTTGGTTCATTTTTTCATTAGTTACCTTCAGGTTTCGGTTGCAGTCAAACCATTCTTCACATCTGAATGAACAGACAAAGTTTGTTTCTGCTGTGATAAAGCCTAGGTATTCTCTCCATACAGCCTGTTTGCAGGTACTGAGTTGGAGACTAACACTTTAAAAGCTATTTCCAGAAAGAAAAGGCTTGCTTCCTGAAGAGCTGCTGCTCTTTGTTTTATTTTGAAAGCTACAAACTAAACTCTTTGAAACTAAACTCTTGGAAAAAAACTCTTTTGAAAGCTTATTGGTAAACTCCAGGACAGAGTAAGAAATAAAGTTGAGTTTTTAAAGATCTTAAATATATACTGTTTTGTTATAGTAAGTAAAGATGGCTCTGTATCAGCATTGTACCAAGCTTCTCTAGACAAATTATTTTCTTGGTGCTGGTTTTATCATCAGTTTCATTCATTTTCTTTTATCCAGGTATCACAGGAAGAGATGACCTCACTGTGGGTGCGACTACAAGTGGAAGAGTGAATTTCTACCCCTGGACAATAGATAACAAATATTATTCTGCGGATATTCACCTCTGTGTAGTGCCAAACACATTTCTTGTTACTGGAGATATTGCTGAATCTGTGCAAGCCTTTGTAGTATACTTCGACAGCACAATAGTAAGACTCTTCTGCTTCATTATATTGCTTTATGTGTATGATATAGTTGCCTTATCACAGTGATAGCCACAAATTACGTTGTCTTCATCTTGTGCCATCCATTCCTTTTGGGCTGTTCTATTAATTATCAGTAGATCAATGTTAAATTATGCCTGCCATCAATGGAAGCAGTTTTTTTCCCTTTCACTATTGTACTCCAGTTGGAAGAGAGGCTTTCAGGATGCAAACATGCCACTAAGTTAGGCAAATCCTCTTCCAGTTCACCACCTCCAGCTTTATGTTAAATTATGCCTGCCATCAATGGAAGCAGTTTTTTTCCCTTTCACTATTGTACTCCAGTTGGAAGAGAGGCTTTCAGGATGCAAACATGTATCAGTAGATCAATGTTAAATTATGCCTGCTATCAATGTAAGCAGTCTCTTTCCCTTTCACTATTGTACTCCAGTTGGAAGAGAGGCTTTCAGGATGCAAACATGCCACTAAGTTAGGCAAATCCTCTTCCAGTCCCCCACCTCCAACTCTGCTCCTGGCTGGTGCTAGTTTGGAAAGGCTGCTTTAGGACAGCCAAGAATGACAGAGCTAAATGTGAGATTCAGTACTATCATTTCACCCAAAATTGTTTCTGCTAAGCTGGCAGCCGTGAAAACAGTGCTTTAGCGAAAGCCAGAAAGATTCTGAGATAAAAAAAATTTCTAAAAAAGGAGTTGTTTTTCATCACAGATGGGAAAGGGCACACATACCACACATTCAGCAAAGATATAGAATAACCTAGAATATATAACTTGGAGTAAACTAGAGCAATAGGAGTAGTTCACCAGTCCCCATAACATCCACTTGAGTGTGGAAGATGGAATAGCTGCACTTTAAACCCCAAATATGCTTAAAACGATATATCATGATTAGCCTTAAGTAAAAATCTTTCCTATTCTACACTAGGATTGCATAATTAATATTAAACATGACAGGGAGGTTGAAGGCAATAGGATTAACTCGTTTAAGATAAGCCAGGAATCAGAAGGAAGTTGTGTATAAATCAGCTTCTCTGACTAGAACACAAGTGTCTAAAACATACTTGATACGTAGCCTAGCATATTTCCTTACTTCATTTTATTCTAATAAATTCTAATAATAAATCTAATGATTTAAAAATGAAAGTATTTGAGATGTATTCCAAAGAACTTTTGGGTTTTTCTCCATTTAGGAATCTGGACTCGATAGTGTCTCTGAATGGCTTCCCCTGACAGAAGAGTGGTTACCAGAAGTCATGATCCTGGTTTGTAACAGAGTGTCTGAAAATGGTATGAAACCCAAAGAAATTCCAAACTGACCTAGAGTTATTAACCTTGCATAATAATTTTTCTACTTAAATCAACACAATTGTTTTTCAAAATATCTGTGTGAGACTGGGCTTGAGATTTGATTGAGAACCAGCTTACATCTGTGACCAGGAACAGTAATCTTAAGCTAATTGTGGTTGAAACTGAATCAGAATTTTACAATCTTGCTTAAAATGAGGTCTGTGTGTCCCATGCTTAGTGTTGCCAGTATGCACTGCCAGGTAACTAAAAAGGTATTCACATTAATAAATGATCCTCTCCGGTGAAGAATGAGGATGACTGTTGGTTGCTTAACTACAGTGGAAAGTACATTCATCTTTTTTGACCATTTGGACACTAAATACACCCATTTGCTTTGGTTCTAGATTAGTACATGCTGTACAACAGCAAGCCCTTGAGGTACAAATACATCCCTGTAACTTAATTCAGATTCAAACCTGGAGTTAATAGAAGTCTTCATTCACTGTGGCACATCAGTTACATTTCCCTTTGAGTACCCACTGCAAAGCCATTTGATTTTATGGTATTTGAAAAAAAAAAAAACCCAAACCAATTCAATTCAAAACAAAACCAAAACAATTCAAAGAAGGAATTTGTTTAACTGGAGTTTTGGAATCAAATTCCAAGTGAGTGGATGACCCATGCCAGCTGCTATATATTTCCCCCTGCCAGAATACAATCCAGAATAAGCAAACAACTTTGAGGGAATAAAATGTAGGTAAAAATTCAACTGCTGATATTGGTCTCAAATGTGGATGTTTAATATGAATTTTTGTTTTCCAACTGTAGGTGTCAACAGACAGAAAGCTCAAGAATGGTGCATCAAGCACGGCTTTGAACTGGTAGAACTTAGCCCTGAGGAACTGCCTGATGAAGATGGTAGGACTCCTGTTTTAATTTTTAGAATGAAAGAACACATCAAAATATCTTCTAAACAATTGCAAGGGGCATAACTTTATTTATGTGCTACGTTATTATTGCATGGAATGCTCCCAGTTGGTGAGGCTTAGCCTCAGCTATAAAAGGTCAGGAGGAGGAGGTGGTTATTTCCTCCAAGAAATTCCAGTTGTCTCCTCCCAAATACAGCTGCTGTTTGTGTAGCACCTACATAAAAATAATATCTGCTCATTTTTCTGGCACTAATCCAGGACTGCATTGATAGAATAGAAGCATTTACATTCCACTCTGGAAATAAATCTAAAAAAACAAGAACCAGAGAGATGCACAAGGGCAAAAAAATTCTTTGTCTTTTTAAAAGAGACTTTAAAACTGTTGTATGTACCAAGAGAAGGCAGACATTATTCAAACAGTGACAAGATAGGCTGAAAAGGGGAGATCATTGAAAACATTTTAGAATAGCACACAGTGGTACACAGGAAATAAACCAGTTTCAAAATCACTGGCTGACCACATGTTTATAACTTGAAAAAACCCATCGAGCAAAGTCAGAAGCGTGAGGTGTGATGTTCCACTCTTGAAAAGTGACTGTGCACTTCCGGACAGCCTTATCAGCATCAGCCTTATCTCCTCATTTCAGTGATACAAAAAAAAAAAAAGGGTTTAGATCTTGTCTCTCTATAGAGCCAAAATGAGATAACCAAGTCCGTTTCCAGGCTGGAGCGGAATTAGTCACTAACATTTGCTCTATTTCAGGTTCACCAAGTACATAGCTGACACCAAAAATCATTTAGTCGAAAGGTCTTCTGAACTAGAACTCAAGTTCCTCCCCCCTTTTAAAGGCCTAGATTAAAATTGTATCTTGAGTAGCTAAGAACCCCCTTCTTCCCCCCACCATGTCTTCAAAGATGCTTTTCTTTTTGGCACTTTGTTAGCCAGGGAGGGAGGGGTACACCTATTTCTGATTTATAGAAGCCAGAACAATTGGAAGTTGGTACCCTTTAGACTAAAGTTGTCTTATGAAGTGCTTTAAAAGGAAATACTAGTAATGTTAAATCAAGAGGTTTTTTTCTGTTGAATAATTGGTGTAAAAGCAAGCTATGTACTATTTAAAGAATATAAACAATGGGAATACTAACACAGTACAATAATCTTTGGAGTATTAAGATACATGTTCTTTCCTGGATTTTTAATATGGTAGTTGATTCACTGTGACTCATGCACAGGAAGAAACATAGTCCAGTAAGTAATATTTACTCCATAAGCATGCTGTATGAATTACAAAAGATAAAATGGACACAGGCTATGTACTATTTAAAGAATATAAACAATGGGAATACTAACACAGTACAATAATCTTTGGAGTATTAAGATACATGTTCTTTCCTGGATTTTTAATATGGTAGTTGATTCACTGTGACTCATGCACAGGAAGAAACATATTCCAGTAAGTAATATTTACTCCATAAACATGCTGTATGAATTACAAAAGATAGAATGGACACATTAAACATACTGGGCCAATGTCTGTGTAAAAATGATGACATTTCTGGCAGTTTATCACAAGTGAACTGGAGCTCTTGCTGTGCTGTCAGTCAGTTGTTTGTGCAGCAAGGACAGGAACTCTAAACTGAGACTCGATAACTCTGATACAAAACCAAACAGCAGTGTTATAGAGGGCAAAATATTTGATCTAAGGAGTCACAGACAGCTTGAAATTAATTTTAAAAGGCAGTTTCAATTAACTATGCCTGTCCCCTAGTTGTCCTAAAAATGTCTGAGTTTTAAGCAATCACATTTTTGTACCCAAGAGTGGTGGGGTTTTTTTCCCCCCACCATTGCTTTGCAAGACCTCCACAAAGGTGGGAAGCTGACTAAACTGAGGAAATGGGAAAACTGACTTTATACAAAGTGGTGTCAGATCTAGTCAGTAAATAAGTTGAAGTCCAAATAATGCTTTCCCTAGGCTTTAAAGTTATTGTAATTCACGGGATTACTGGAACATTTGGAGTTAGATGTTGTGGAGATAGCTTTACTATGATCACTTTTATTTTTAACAAGCATCACACCTTTTAAAATGGTTCTTTACTTTCCAAAGGAAGGAAAAGTAATTCTAGCATCAATTTTTATGCCGTGCAGCATTCTAAAAGATCTTAGGGTAAAGGATGCCTTGCTTTTAACAGCAGCTTAAAAATTGTTTATTACTATTAAATTTACTTGTATGTTATTTACCAGCTTAGGCCTCATGCTAAATATTTAACAAAACCCCACTCAGAATTCAGATCTCTGCAAGAGGCTGAGAGCTCACAGTTCATAATACCTGGAAGCATAGACAGAGGAGTGAGGCATTAATTGAGATTTGTTTGGCCTCTCATAAAGCAAAAGCAAGAAATCTGTGTTTTCTAACAAAACAAAGTCATTTTTATCTATTGCTATAAGATAAACCAGGCATTCAGACACACACCTCCTCACTTTCAGGCAAGTAGTGAGTTTGGGGATAAATCTTAGGAGTGCAATGTCTTTGTCTTTTGGTTTAGATGATTTTCCTGAGTCCACTGGAGTGAAACGAATCGTACAGGCCTTGAATGCCAACGTGTGGTCCAACGTGGTCATGAAGAGCGGTACGTAACACGGGTTCCTCTTTGGTATGAGCTCTGGAGAACACAGGCCTTGAGGGCTTAGTATTTTTGGCAAAAGTTTAAACTGAGCAGCTACAGTGCTACTGCCACTGCGTCAGTGCACAGATCACTACAGCACTTTTAAACCTTTTACGTGGAATAGTAGTTTCAGGTATTGCTTTCATTGTACCCCAATGCATAGAGAAATTTACAGGCAATGGGTGAGATTTAGTCCCATTTCAGCATCTGTTCCCTCTGTACTTGCTCTCTACCAATAACTTGAGTTTAAGTATTCCACTAATTCTTCAAATTTCAGTGAAAAATGAAAGCTTGGTCCATCAAACTCTAGCAGCAAATAGCTAGTCATTATCAGCTTGGTCAAAAAACAGATAAATAGTTTAGTGTAGAAGCAGTAAGCGTTAAATTCCAAATTTGTTACAGCTTTTTGAAAAGAACGTTTGAAACAGGGATGAAAACAGCAAGTGCAGAGATAAGACTTGACAAAGAAGTGATTTCAAGTGTCTGTTGAAGGGCATACTGAGTGCATGGCAAGAAGGACTGTTTCCCCTACAGAAACCCCCCCTGACTACACAGAACCCACAGAATGTTTCGAAAACGGTGCGAAAACCAGGCAATAATTTCGTGCAGACAGTTGATTATCAGCTGGCGTTGGAGTTTTGGAAAAACCACTTTAGGATCAGACTCATTAGCAAAGGAAATGCTGTTGCTAGCCCAGAGTTACTGCAAGAAGGAGATACTCCCATTGACTTGAAAACCTGTAATTGCCTTCCTAATAATACAAGCCCTTGCCGGAAATGTAGGAAGATTAAACTCTTGTGGAGCACTTGGCCTTACATTTCTTATTTCACAAAGCCTCATCCCACCAGCCAGCAGCCTTCCCATGATGTCTGTCTGCTCCCTGATGCACAATTTTCCATTCTTACAGCTTCTTCCTTCCTACTTTTTTTAACTGTGTAATGATTTCAAGTGCTGAGAGGCTTCAGCTAATTCCTGTAACTGGAAGCTGGTTACAGGGACTCCGCAGAACTAGGATGAGAACTGCTAAACCCATCAGCTTTTTGAATTATTTTTTTCCTAACACAGCCTTTTAAGTATTTCTCATACCACATCAGAACAGGGTTCAAACTTAAGGTAATCATTCTAGAGAAATTGGTAGCCATTTGAGATGGCGTGAAGTTATCTCACTAGTGCTAAAACAGTTTTCTGAACAGCGTACTTCCTGCGTTTGACAGATGCCACATTACAGAAGAACAGAATTTAGTCACTGTTCAGTTCTTGGGGGGAAATTCCTGTGCATCATTAGCATGTTCTGTAAAAGGTCAGACTCCTTGGAAATCCAGAGTTTCGATCGTCCTAAAAATGTCTGAGTTTTAAGCAATCACATTTTTGTACCCAAGAGTGGTGGGGTTTTTTTCCCCCCACCATTGCTTTGCAAGACCTCCACAAAGGTGGGAAGCTGACTAAACTGAGGAAATGGGAAAACTGACTTTATACAAAGTGGTGTCAGATCTAGTCAGTAAATAAGTTGAAGTCCAAATAATGCTTTCCCTAGGCTTTAAAGTTATTGTAATTCACGGGATTACTGGAACATTTGGAGTTAGATGTTATGGAGATAGCTTTACTATGATCACTTTTATTTTTAACAAGCATCACACCTTTTAAAATGGTTCTTTACTTTCCAAAGGAAGGAAAAGTAATTCTAGCATCAATTTTTATGCCGTGCAGCATTCTAAAAGATCTTAGGGTAAAGGATGCCTTGCTTTTAACAGCAGCTTAAAAATTGTTTATTACTATTAAATTTACTTGTATGTTATTTACCAGCTTAGGCCTCATGCTAAATATTTAACAAAACCCCACTCAGAATTCAGATCTCTGCAAGAGGCTGAGAGCTCACAGTTCATAATACCTGGAAGCATAGACAGAGGAGTGAGGCATTAATTGAGATTTGTTTGGCCTCTCATAAAGCAAAAGCAAGAAATCTGTGTTTTCTAACAAAACAAAGTCATTTTTATCTATTGCTATAAGATAAACCAGGCATTCAGACACACACCTCCTCACTTTCAGGCAAGTAGTGAGTTTGGGGATAAATCTTAGGAGTGCAATGTCTTTGTCTTTTGGTTTAGATGATTTTCCTGAGTCCACTGGAGTGAAACGAATCGTACAGGCCTTGAATGCCAACGTGTGGTCCAACGTGGTCATGAAGAGCGGTACGTAACATGGGTTCCTCTTTGGTATGAGCTCTGGAGAACACAGGCCTTGAGGGCTTAGTATTTTTGGCAAAAGTTTAAACTGAGCAGCTACAGTGCTACTGCCACTGCGTCAGTGCACAGATCACTACCACACTTTTAAACCTTTTACGTGGAATAGTAGTTTCAGGTATTGCTTTCATTGTACCCCAATGCATAGAGAAATTTACAGGCAATGGGTGAGATTTAGTCCCATTTCAGCATCTGTTCCCTCTGTACTTGCTCTCTACCAATAACTTGAGTTTAAGTATTCCACTAATTCTTCAAATTTCAGTGAAAAATGAAAGCTTGGTCCATCAAACTCTAGCAGCAAATAGCTAGTCATTATTAGCTTGGTCAAAAAACCGATAAATAGTTTAGTGTAGAAGCAGTAAGTGTTAAATTCCAAATTTGTTAGTTTTTTTGAAAAGAATGTTTGAAATAGGGATGAAAACAGCAAGTGCAGAGATAAGACTTGACAAAGAAGTGATTTCAAGTGTCTGTTGAAGGGCATACTGAGTGCATGGCAAGAAGGACTGTTTCCCCTACAGAAACCCCCCCTGACTACACAGAACCCACAGAATGTTTCGAAAACGGTGCGAAAACCAGGCAATAATTTCGTGCAGACAGTTGATTATCAGCTGGCGTTGGAGTTTTGGAAAAACCACTTTAGGATCAGACTCATTAGCAAAGGAAATGCTGTTGCTAGCCCAGAGTTACTGCAAGAAGGAGATACTCCCATTGACTTGAAAACCTGTAATTGCCTTCCTAATAATACAAGCCCTTGCCGGAAATGTAGGAAGATTAAACTCTTGTGGAGCACTTGGCCTTACATTTCTTATTTCACAAAGCCTCATCCCACCAGCCAGCAGCCTTCCCATGATGTCTGTCTGCTCCCTGATGCACAATTTTCCATTCTTACAGCTTCTTCCTTCCTACTTTTTTTAACTGTGTAATGATTTCAAGTGCTGAGAGGCTTCAGCTAATTCCTGTAACTGGAAGCTGGTTACAGGGACTCCGCAGAACTAGGATGAGAACTGCTAAACCCATCAGCTTTTTGAATTATTTTTTTCCTAACACAGCCTTTTAAGTATTTCTCATACCACATCAGAACAGGGTTCAAACTTAAGGTAATCATTCTAGAGAAATTGGTAGCCATTTGAGATGGCGTGAAGTTATCTCACTAGTGCTAAAACAGTTTTCTGAACAGCGTACTTCCTGCGTTTGACAGATGCCACATTACAGAAGAACAGAATTTAGTCACTGTTCAGTTCTTGGGGGGAAATTCCTGTGCATCATTAGCATGTTCTGTAAAAGGTCAGACTCCTTGGAAATCCAGAGTTTCGATCTCCACAGTACAAAAACCACACAGCATCGATGCACGTTACTACAAACCCCTCAGGAAGTGAACTATATTTGGAAGCTGTTGCAGCCTGACTATGACTTCAAAGGGAGATAGTTGAACTCATTTTACTTAAAATAAAGCTTTTTACAACCTGGGATGTATCTTTTGTTTTCAGCTTCCCCCTGATCCTGGAAATTGGCCACTAATAACTCAAACTTTAGCTTTTCTACTCAATTTAGAATTATTTATCTACACCTGTTGGCCCTTTAGAAGCAACACAGTCTTACTTCAATTGAAGATTTTTCATAGAGTATATTTATATAGTAGTAAAAGCTTAGAGCACTGTTAAGTGTAGCCATCTAAAAAGCCAGTGTTACAGCATTGCCTTACTTCACCTGTTTGTATGAGAATTTAAATTTACAGACAGAGCAGAAAGGACTTTTTTCAAGTACAAGCATTAAACCCATGTTACTTTAAGGCATTTAACCTTAAGCCCAAACACAGTTCTCCTTAAGTTGTGAAGTGGTTGTGTCACACATCTATTAAGAAAATTCTTGACCTTTTAATTTTTTCCTCTAATGATTAAACACACGCATTCTCACACCAACTCATAAAAATAGGTATTAAAAACAAAAGAGTTGAATTAGAAACCTTTTCACATGAAGTATTACCACAGGCTTTGTGAGAAAATGAAGCAATATTGTCTCTATGAAAAGAAAACCAGGTACTCTTACCTGAGAGTCTCCAGAGGCAGTTCCCTGTTGTAGTTGGTACAAAGTTTTTGGTACTCCAGGCCCCAGAGCTCACTCCAATCTGAGAATCAGGTGTTTCCTTTCCCCTTATACAGAAGAGCACAAGTAGTTCATCACCTAAAACATCTTCTTATCTGTCCCTTCAAGAGCAGCAGTAGCTGACCCAAGAGGGCAAGAAGAGAAATTATTTACTGCCCTCTGAAAGAGGCTACTTATCTCCTTTCCTGCTTAAATACCTGCTTTAGTGGTCCCAGCTGAAGCTGGTTACTTAGGGTGGGGGCTCATCATTAGCCTGGTTCTTGTAGCAAAAAATTCACCTGATTTAGGGGGACTATTGAAACTTAGTTATTTAAGCAAGTTACGAATTTTGACTTTTTAATTTCAATTTTCTACGGAAGTCAGGATCACCACATGTTAGCTAGCCAGAAGATGGAGGAGTAGTAGATAAAGACAGTGGAAAACCTTTTGCTATGAAATGAGTATGTGTGGGTCTTGAAGCCACGCTCAGAGCCCAGTGTCTGAGAGCTCCCCAGCCATTGCTGTGCGATACCTGGGACACTGCACGGGCTCCATCATCTTACAATAAGTAGAGTGAGATAATGTTTGGCTTTGATGCTGTAAGAACACTGTGTAAGGCATCACCCACTTCCTGAATTGCACCCAGAAGTTGAAATAATTTTTACGTCCAATAAAAAGGGTTTATAGGAAGGCTTTTTGAAGGGTGTGCCTGCAACCAAGCGTTATGTCTGCCGCCTCCCTGACCACGCCGCCAGAAACAAATAGCTGCTTTTTCAGAGGTCCCCACTGGGGATCCCAGTTTCTCTCTAACTGGGACAACATTTTTTAACTACGCTGGCTGAGGTGACGTGGATGTGGCCATGGTGGGGATGGAGCCACTGTCATTTCTCTGTACAGGATGAACTCTGATGGGAGATGGGAGAGAGGGACACGGTTAGGTCACTCCATCCACCCCTCTGCCAACGTGGTTATGTTCTCTCCCCAGTACATTCTGGACTGCCATGTCCAGTCCAGCTTCAGATGACTCAGAAATTGGCTAAGTGTCCCAAAAGACAGCTCTTTGCTCAGCTCAGTTAAACTCTGGGAAGCTGCTTCAGTCGGGGTTGTGATTCCCAATCTTTTATCCCTCAGTTGCCCGTTAATTCAGCTGTTGGACTTTGTGGGCTTTCACAGGTCTCACAACTGAATATTTTTAAGGCAAATCAGTCCAGGGATGAAAACAGCAAGTGCAGAGATAAGACTTGACAAAGAAGTGATTTCAAGTGTCTGTTGAAGGGCATACTGAGTGCATGGCAAGAAGGACTGTTTCCCCTACAGAAACCCCCCCTGACTACACAGAACCCACAGAATGTTTCGAAAACGGTGCGAAAACCAGGCAATAATTTCGTGCAGACAGTTGATTATCAGCTGGCGTTGGAGTTTTGGAAAAACCACTTTAGGATCAGACTCATTAGCAAAGGAAATGCTGTTGCTAGCCCAGAGTTACTGCAAGAAGGAGATACTCCCATTGACTTGAAAACCTGTAATTGCCTTCCTAATAATACAAGCCCTTGCCGGAAATGTAGGAAGATTAAACTCTTGTGGAGCACTTGGCCTTACATTTCTTATTTCACAAAGCCTCATCCCACCAGCCAGCAGCCTTCCCATGATGTCTGTCTGCTCCCTGATGCACAATTTTCCATTCTTACAGCTTCTTCCTTCCTACTTTTTTTAACTGTGTAATGATTTCAAGTGCTGAGAGGCTTCAGCTAATTCCTGTAACTGGAAGCTGGTTACAGGGACTCCGCAGAACTAGGATGAGAACTGCTAAACCCATCAGCTTTTTGAATTATTTTTTTCCTAACACAGCCTTTTAAGTATTTCTCATACCACATCAGAACAGGGTTCAAACTTAAGGTAATCATTCTAGAGAAATTGGTAGCCATTTGAGATGGCGTGAAGTTATCTCACTAGTGCTAAAACAGTTTTCTGAACAGCGTACTTCCTGCGTTTGACAGATGCCACATTACAGAAGAACAGAATTTAGTCACTGTTCAGTTCTTGGGGGGAAATTCCTGTGCATCATTAGCATGTTCTGTAAAAGGTCAGACTCCTTGGAAATCCAGAGTTTCGATCTCCACAGTACAAAAACCACACAGCATCGATGCACGTTACTACAAACCCCTCAGGAAGTGAACTATATTTGGAAGCTGTTGCAGCCTGACTATGACTTCAAAGGGAGATAGTTGAACTCATTTTACTTAAAATAAAGCTTTTTACAACCTGGGATGTATCTTTTGTTTTCAGCTTCCCCCTGATCCTGGAAATTGGCCACTAATAACTCAAACTTTAGCTTTTCTACTCAATTTAGAATTATTTATCTACACCTGTTGGCCCTTTAGAAGCAACACAGTCTTACTTCAATTGAAGATTTTTCATAGAGTGTATTTGTATAGTAGTGAATGCTTAGAGCACTGTTAAGTGTAGCCATCTAAAAAGCCAGTGTTACAGCATTGCCTTACTTCACCTGTTTGTATGAGAATTTAAATTTACAGACAGAGCAGAAAGGACTTTTTTCAAGTACAAGCATTAAACCCATGTTACTTTAAGGCATTTAACCTTAAGCCCAAACACAGTTCTCCTTAAGTTGTGAAGTGGTTGTGTCACACATCTATTAAGAAAATTCTTGACCTTTTAATTTTTTCCTCTAATGATTAAACACACGCATTCTCACACCAACTCATAAAAATAGGTATTAAAAACAAAAGAGTTGAATTAGAAACCTTTTCACATGAAGTATTACCACAGGCTTTGTGAGAAAATGAAGCAATATTGTCTCTATGAAAAGAAAACCAGGTACTCTTACCTGAGAGTCTCCAGAGGCAGTTCCCTGTTGTAGTTGGTACAAAGTTTTTGGTACTCCAGGCCCCAGAGCTCACTCCAATCTGAGAATCAGGTGTTTCCTTTCCCCTTATACAGAAGAGCACAAGTAGTTCATCACCTAAAACATCTTCTTATCTGTCCCTTCAAGAGCAGCAGTAGCTGACCCGAGAGGGCAAGAAGAGAAATGATTTACTGTCCTCTGAAAGGGGCTACTTACCTCATTTCCTGCTTAAATACCTGCTTTAGTGGTCCCAGCTGAAGCTGGTTACTTAGGGTGGGGGCTCATAATTAGCCTGGCTCTTGTAGCAAAAAATTCACCAGATTTAGGGGGACTATTGAAACTTAGTTATTTAAGCAAGTTATGAATTTTGACTTTTTAATGTCAATTTTCTACGGAAGTCAGGATCACCCCATGTTAGCTAGCCAGAAGATGGAGGAGTAGTAGATAAAGACAGTGGAAAACCTTTTGCTATGAAATGAGTATGTGTGGGTCTTGAAGCCACGCTCAGAGCCCAGTGTCTGAGAGCTCCCCAGCCATTGCTGTGCGATACCTGGGACACTGCACGGGCTCCATCATCTTACAATAAGTAGAGTGAGATAATGTTTGGCTTTGATGCTGTAAGAACACTGTGTAAGGCATCACCCACTTCCTGAATTGCACCCAGAAGTTGAAATAACTTTTACGTCCAATAAAAAGGGTTTATAGGAAGGCTTTTTGAAGGGTGTGCCTGCAACCAAGCGTTATGTCTGCCGCCTCCCTGACCACGCCGCCAGAAACAAATAGCTGCTTTTTCAGAGGTCCCCACTGGGGATCCCAGTTTCTCTCTAACTGGGACAACATTTTTTAACTACGCTGGCTGAGGTGACGTGGATGTGGCCATGGTGGGGATGGAGCCACTGTCATTTCTCTGTACAGGATGAACTCTGATGGGAGATGGGAGAGAGGGACACGGTTAGGTCACTCCATCCACCCCTCTGCCAACGTGGTTATGTTCTCTCCCCAGTACATTCTGGACTGCCATGTCCAGTCCAGCTTCAGATGACTCAGAAATTGGCTAAGTGTCCCAAAAGACAGCTCTTTGCTCAGCTCAGTTAAACTCTGGGAAGCTGCTTCAGTCGGGGTTGTGATTCCCAATCTTTTATCCCTCAGTTGCCCGTTAATTCAGCTGTTGGACTTTGTGGGCTTTCACAGGTCTCACAACTGAATATTTTTAAGGCAAATCAGTCAGCTAAACTGATTCACTTCTTCCCACACTGTTGGCGAGTGATTTCTTAAAGCAGTAAAACTGTATAAAACCTTGAACAAATATAACTGTGTGTTGAACTGTATAAAAAGTTGAAACAAATACCTGCTGGGGACTCGGGGGGGACAGGGCTGGGGCAGGACACACATCAGCCTGAGTACACAGTGATGATTATTAAGCAGGAAGTGAGGTCTTAGTAATTCCCTAATGGAGACCTGTTTACATGTTTTCTAGATAGCTGATGGGTTTAGCTACGCATTCAACTCTTCAGAATGAAATTTTGTATAAATGGCAAGGAAATTTGGACAGTGCATAAAAATTACATCAGCTCAACGTTTTCGTCTAGAGCTTAGTCATTAGCGTGATAATTTAAAACACATTTTTTTTTAAAAAAGTAATATTTATCTTTCTTCTGGCACAGGTCATTGTTTCCTGGCTATTTGTAGTACAAAACTTAACGTTATTTCTTTTTTACTTGACTAAAATACTAAGACTTTCAGAAAAGTCTCCTGAATCCCTTTTGTAACTGGAAATATTTACTACTGAATGCAAGGCCAGCTGAAAACATGGCTTAGAAAACAAACAGCCTTGTAATATCACCTATTATGCAGTTATATTTATTTTAAAAATAAAGTTTTAAAAATACAGTCAGTTTAATTTAAAAATACTGTGCTGCATTTATTACCTGAGATGATTGTTTAGTTTTAGGTTTGAATTCGCTGGGGTTTTTTTTAGGTTGGATTTTTAAAATACCATTGAACTAAACTGTAGGTTGGGAGCTGTGGAAAGCCCAAAGCACCTTGCAGTGGGAAGAAACATGGGATTTGCTGCTGGGATTTGTCCTTCCGTGAGCCCTGACCTCGATGTTTAGCATTTGCCTTTGCCATGACTCAACCTCTTTAGACAATGCGTGGTGAAGCGAAGGCACTTGCTGCATTTCCTGTCTCTAACCACACACTTGGTGCTGCTTCCCATGGCTGTGAAACCTGCTCCACTGAGTGTCAGCAACAGCAAATGCTGCTGCTCTGCTTTGAAAACTGCCTGGTTTGGAGTCAGAAGGCATTTGCCAGAGCAAAGCCTAACCGAGCACTGACTTCAAATGAGAAAAGAAAAGAGCTCACATCTCTTGTGGCTTACACAGCTGTTCCCTGCTGGTAACATTTAGCAGTAAATGTTATTAATGTATTTAAAAAACCCTTAGAGATTATGAAAAATTTCTGCGTTATGAAAATCTTAGAGATTATATAAGATTCTTAGAGATTATATAAAATTCATAATCTTAGAGATTATGAAAAATTTTGAAGAGCATTGATGCAGTTTTATAGGATGCTGTGTGTCTTCCCTGAAATGTTCTCTGTCCCAGCTGGTCAGTTAAAACTATTTGTGATTGTATCACATCTTCTGTCAAACTCAGGGCTGTTTTGTTTCCAGACAGGACCCAGGGCTTTGGCCTGCTCAGTACGTTAGCGGGTGCGAACTGTAGCGTCGGGTCAGAAGAGAACCAAGATACAGAAGTAAACAGTAATTCCTATTTCTTGTTCTTTGCCTCAAAACTGTTTCTTGTGGTGTTCTTTCCTGTTGTGACACTTGGGCTGTCGGTGGTGGCTTGCTTTGTTTCCCCTCCTTTCTCAAGGGATGCTTCACAGCCTGTTGGGATCTATTTTAAAGGAAGTATTTCCAAAGCTTGAAAAACTATCTGCGTTTTTTGTACGAGGCAGTTGCTCCCAGGAGCTGTTGCCTCGTGGCTGTGAGCTTGCTGTTTGCCAAGATGTTGCCTCAGAACTGATGGTTTTACTTGGAAACGTCCGATTGTGCGCTCAGTGTTGGGTGTTGATCGCACTGATTTCCATGTTGTGTAAATCTTTTCCCCCAGACAACCCACTGGAGCCCAGGGAAGGTTATTAAAAGCTCCATTCAAGATGTTGTTTTTCAGTAATATCCAAGAGCAATGTTTTGTGCAAAGCAAAAACTTGATAGTGTTATTTAAAAACAACAACAAACCTATCATAGAAAATGTTTATGTAATATCTACGTAGAGTGTTGCAAAAGTGACTTATCATTATCCACGTGATACGGGTTTTGCATAAGTAACAGCTCAGGATAAAGATGAAGTTTTTGAAGCCAAAACAGGAAGCACCTGATTTGCTGCTGGTGCTTTTTAGGTGCGTTATTGGATACTCCTAATGCCTGTTTGTTTCCTGACAGTCCCATCCATCACCAGATGGAGAAGAATCCTGTTCAGGCAGCAGAGAAGATGGGGCTGGCACAAACAGCCTGCGGATTGACAGCGCTGTAGGTGAGCTCTTTCCCTGCCCAGTGGATGTGTTGGAGTGGGCTGGGAGATTTCCCCATGCACATATTGTGTGTATATCTAGAATAAATATCTATATAAGAATAAATTTTGAAGTATTATGGTTGCAGAGAAAACTCACTACAGTTTAGCCAGCAGGAGGTGAATGAAGCACGCTCTGCTTGGCTCAGTCCTGAGAGGTTCTGGTGTTCTAAGCTACAAGTCCTTCAATAATTGCTCCATTCCAGGAGATGGGACTTTCTTACAAGTAGGATATAGAGATCTCCTAAAGGCTGGGTAGCAGAGTCTCATGACTCTTCATTTACTCCGTGGCTGTTCCTAGACAGATCATTTTATAATAAGCAAGAAACTTTAAATATTGGATGAACTCAAACCCACTCTTGCAATGTAATGTATCAAAGTTCATTAATGCTGTAATGATGCCGTGAGATTTATGTAGGAACAATCAGTAAATTAAATGTTTCTTTCCTTCCTATGGAGGGTGGGATCTGCAAATGGGATTTTGCAGGTGTTAAAATCCTATTTTTAATCAGAAAGGCTTTCGCACCTGCTGACACAACAGGGTCATTTACTTTAAACCAACCTGTACACACTTGTTTCAGACCCCACGTTAGATGTGGACATCCAGGAGTTAGCCAGCCTGACCACCAGGGATGGGGACCTGGAGAACTTTGAAAGGCTTTTCTCAAAGCTGAAAGAAATGAAAGGTAACGTGCCCGGAGAGCGGTACCGAGCTCTGTCACCTCTTCTAATTACTCTAAGGCATGAAAGCCAGTGTGTGAATTGGGAAGTTTGTACAAATTCCTATTTTCTCATCTGAGGCTGTTTGTAAGTAGCTGATCTTTTCTTTAATTTGCCCTTTGTCTTGAAAGAGGCAGATGTTGCTCAGCTGGCTGCTGTCGCCCTGATTTTGTCCACCGTGACCTTATGCTACAGTTTTCTATAAAGAAACCTGTAACAAGAACTTTTTTTTGACCCAAGTCACGTTCTTTTCCACAGATAAAGCTGCAACGTTGCCTCATGAGCAAAGAAAACTACACGCAGAAAAGGTGAGGCTTTGAAATTGGCATTGAAATTACTAAAAATGGGGTTTTCCTGAGCCATAGGTACCTCTCCTGTAGAGTTCCTACATTAAAAGCAGTAAGAGCAAACCACGTGGTCCTAGGGAAGACTGACTGGTATCTCCCAGGAACTGAATAAAAAAATCTGGAATTTTGGAATACTAGAAAAAGCTTTCCCCTTTCAAAATGTGTGAAGTTGAGGCGCTGCAGGCAGGGAGGGTGTGAGCCAGATTCCACTTAAGTCAATGGAAGAGCCTTGATCTCAAGGAAAATTGAATCCTGCCTTAATTAGCTCAAGTTTTGTATCACTTATGCCTCCCATGAGCCCTAAATTATTGTCTCTGCGTTGAAATATCTTAACTCCAGAGAGGATTTGTGTTGTACCTAGAAACATGGTTGCTCCATTCAGCTGCTCCCTTCCTGCTTTGTGGATGGAAATGTAAAATTCTCGGTCATTTGAGGGGAATTTTTCTCCCTTTCCTCTCTTTTTTTCCCCGTTGTCAGGTGGCCAAAGCCTTCTGGATGGCAATCGGAGGAGACAGAGATGAAATTGAAGGTCTCTCCTCGGATGAAGAAAACTAAGTTCTTTGGTAGCTGTGAGTGCCGGAGCGACGCGAAAAGCGCGGTCTCTCCCTGCAATGAGTGTTTAGTGCAAAAAGCCCCATCGAGCCTCAGTTGCCACCTTTGGTGAAGGGATTCCCCACACCCTTGTAGTAACACATTCCACAGCACCTGGTGGGTACAGTGGTTTTTTGTCTCCAGTGTTCATTTCTTCTCTCTCAGAGAATTTTTGGAAGGCGATGGCACGCAGTTAGAGGGAATCACAATTTCATTTACATTTTTTCAAATTAACATTGTTGTTTCCTCTTTTTTGAGTTAAAATAAATAAACAGATTTACTACCAGTTATCTTTCTGGTGGTTGTTAAGTGACGGCTTAATTCTAAACTCGAGGTTTTAGATCTAGGCCTGTTTGATGCTTTTATGTAGCTTTGTAGCCGATTGTATGAGTTAAACCAAACCAGATTTATGTGAGCTGTGAAGAGAAAAGCTGAGTTGTCCCCCCTGGTGGGATGCCCTGCCGAGGCTCCAGGTCCATCCTGCCCAGTGCCAAAGCTGTGACAAGTGGCCCACAGGCTTTGAATGCTCTTTGCATCCACAAGGATGTGGTCCTTCCCTGGAGAGTCGGGTCTTCTGCCACGCTCCCTGCGTTTCCATTAGAAACTAAATCTGGGATGAAAGGCCAGAGAGGTTTTTGCTGCAGTTCTGGGGGGAAATTCCCCGCCCAGAGCTTTGGCCTCCAAGGCCAAACAGAACACACAGCCCCTTCTGCTGGTGAATCCTGTCCTAAATACCCAAAAGCCACGATTTCAAAAACCCCATGCTGTCACCTGGAGCAGTTACTACAGATTTATGTACAGTCCAAGCCTCAAATTGCTGCTTCAAGGTACCAAGGGTTAGAGAAGATTGAGTTGGCCTTAGGTTTAGTGTGTTGTCATCTCCTGCACAGGCACGTGGTGGAAGACTCGCTGGAGAGTGTAAACTCACAGGGCACTTGGAGAAGGAGGAGGAAAGCACAGGCTGGGGAGGGAGCGAGAGGAGAAAAAGTAAATGTCTCCTTTTTTTGCTCCAGTCAGCTGTCAGATCCAGATCAACGGAATGAGGTAGCCAGTAGGTGCCCTGCTGGAGGATCAGGCCCCTGGTGCCCATCTGCCCCACCCTGAAATGGCAGAGATTTTCCCCAAGAGCATTCCCTTATCAATCTGAGAACGCGCCGCGTTAAGCAACCCCATGGAGAAATTTTGAAATGAGCTTTTCCAATGTCTGGTTTTTCGCGTCAATAAATTTCGCGAGACAGCGGCTCTCCATAAATTACTGGACGGCTTTACATTTGGAAAGCACCTTCACAGTGGTTCTTGACAATCACTGCTTTTTCTTTTAAGATTAAACAAAGCTAAAAGAAGAGCTGCTTGGAGCGCTGTAAATCGTTTCCTGGGTGAAAACTGCAGCCTTCTCAACTCTTAAAAAGCAGAACTGGGGCTTCGTTAGTAGTTTGAAAGCATTTCTCAGACAAAGACTGAGCAGAAGCTCCACCAGAGTAAAATAGCTGTTTTTTCAAGAAGAAATGTTCCTTTTACAGGAATATTTTCAAGGAAACACACCTGTCAGGGCCACCTCCTTCCCAGCTGGATGATACAAAGCAGCTGCCGTGAGTTTGCCATCTCCTCCCGTTCCCTCCTCCTCGTCCCCAGCACAGAGGGCTGGATCAGGAACTGAAGGTGCTTCCTTCCAAGTAGGGAACAGTTTTCCGTGTTTGCTTCTCAGGAGCTGAAGATTTATTTATTTTTTCCCCCTTTCTAAATATTTGTTGTGCAATAACGATAAATGGCAAAAGTGCAGAGTAAATTAATTGCCCGCAGTGAAGGAAAGAATGCACTCGAATATGTTACAAACTCAATTCTTTGTATGTGAGATACACGTATGACAGTTTATTTGCATTTATACAAATTAAAATCGAGCTCTTTTCTGCCTTTTTACAAGGTGGCAGCAGCTAAACTTCCAGAAATGATGCCTTCTCCCAGGAATCAGACTTACCGGTTGGGGAACACTCACCTCTCCTCACTCCCAACAAACACAGAACTCTTCAAATGTGTTTTTGTCATAAATGTGTGTCTTGTTCATAGATACCATCTCTGCTTTATAAAAACTCAGTTCATCAAGGTAGGAACCATGGCTAGGAAATGTGAGGAAATAGTTTTAATGATCTTTAAAGAATGTTGTATTGTATTTTTTAAAATCAAAGTTTACTTTGCTGGTGGCTTGTTTTTTTGTTTTGTGGGTTGTGTTTTTTTTTTTTTTCTGGAGATGCTTTGGTTTTGGCTCCAGAATTTCTTTACAAAATAGATGTGACAGAAATGAATAAAAGGGGCATTAATGGCAAAGCAAACCTGGGAGTTGTTCTGTCTTTTGCTCAGTTCCTCTTGGAAAGCCACAGCCTTGTTCAGCAACAACAAAAGAATTCCCATCTTGCTTTTAAATCCCAGTGAGGGTTTTGAAGGTGTTGGCTTCCCCCTGGCACTGGGACCCCAGTGCTTAACTGGAACCACTGGAACAGCTCTGCTGGGAAGTTCAGGCACCGTGGGCAGAGGTAGAGGCTTTTCCTCCATAAAGATGGTGACAAGAACATGTAGCCAGACTGTGAATGAAACTCAAGAGATGATTCTGGAGCAAACGTGACAAGGCCTCAGTGAAAAGGGGAAGCAGCAGTTTCTGGCTGTGGTATTTGCAAGGAAACGCAAAGGAAAGTGAGTGCATCTGTGTCAGCAAAGAGCAGCTGGAAAGGGTCACAGCAAACGCTCCAAAGGCTGCAGGAAACCCTGAGACTGAAGAGAAGAAATCCCAATTCTGGTGTTTGCCATGGCACGAGGAAACGCAGCACTCGCAGGAAAACACACGCAGGGAGGTGTGAGACTTTGAAGGCTCCATCCCCAGGCCCTTCTTTCCTCTCGTTCTCTGCAGCCAGGTCAGTTCACATTTCTTTGTTGTGATTAAAGTAGTGGTTGGGTCACTATCAGCACAAGAAACTGAGTGTAAAAGTAACCTGACAAACTCCAGGCAAACTAGTGAAATTCCAGCTCCAACTAAAGGCTACATAAACGCTGTGTTTATAATTATTAAAAGGAGAAAACATTACTTGCATACAATAACAGTAAGGTATACCTTGGGCAAAACCACACCACTCTGATAAGTCTTTTGGACTCGTGGAAACTGTGTCCTGAGCACTCACAATTAGCAGTTTTGAGATTTATTATCAAACCTGTATTTTGCTTCAGCTTCTCAGTGCAGTTGAGAAATCCTGCAATCCATGATGTACATATTGAAGTGACACCCAGCAGAACCCACAGCTCCGAGCTGATTTACATCATCCCACTGGAGCTCTGGCAACCCCGGTACTAAACCTGGACCAGACCTTTTTTTATGACCGCATTGTTGGAAAACCGAGTGGAAAAAGTATTCTCGTAAATCCTCTGGCAGGAAAAACAACAACAAAAAAAATAATAATAATAAAAAAAATCAATCTGCATTTCAGTGAAACCCTGGGAGGAGCATGAGGAGCTCAGAGAGTGAGCTCATCGTGTGCCTCGGCTCGGGGAGCAGTCCTGGTGGGAGAATGCCCTCTCTGAGGCCAGCAGAACACCAGCCTCTGCCCCAAATCCCTGCTTTTTATTGAAATGGCCACTTCGCTGGACATTCCAGAGTCCCCTCTAGGCACATCCCAGCCAGGACAGCAGAGGGGACACATCTCCACAGCTGAGCAGGGTGGGTGCAAAGGAACCCCCCAACCCCGCGGCCACCACTGGTCCAGCTGGGCTCCCATTTGATTCCTGGCTGCAGCGATGGCAAAGAGGAGAGAGACTCCATAAACCCCTTCTAGCAAAGGGCAACAGCCAAAAATACAGCCCTGCAGGTTAAGATGGGAAAAGTTTTCCCCGAGGAACATAACGCAGCCCTGGAACAGCTTATCTGGGGAGGAGCGGGGTAGAATCTCTCTTCTTTAAGCTGCTTCTTCAAGATTTACCTGGATGAAAGCCCAGCTGGCCTGATCCAGTGTTGGCAACTGTCTTGGATCAACCACGAGGTTGGAGTAGACACCCCCAGTAGCCTCTTCCTACCCTCATTTCTCTGATTCGATGAAAGAATTGGGCAGTTTTAAACCAGATTTGAGGGAAATCATGTTCTTCAGGAAGGTAATGCATTGATGGGATGAATTCTGCTGAGCTGGACCCAAACAAATATCATTCCAAGGCCATTAACACCTTGTCACCAGGTCTCCAAACCTGGAGACCACGTTTGTGCCCCCCCACCTGCCATCCTCAGCTCTGCAGAAGCGACCAACCGAGAGGCCAAACCCAGGACTTCCAATTCCTCAACAGGGAGACACCAGAGGTGTTTTGGGGTCTGCTGGGCCACAAGATGCTGAGGACAAAGTGGGGAATAACCCCCAGCAGCTCCTGCTCTTCTGCTAATGGAGTTCCTCAAGGAGCAGCCCTGGTGAGCGTCCAGCTACAGCTTCATCCAGAGGGCAAAGACAGAACGTTCAGCTACGTCTGGCTTTTCCAGCAGTTCCACAACAACTCCTTTGAGCCACAGCACTCCACTTCCACTCACCTCTCAGTCCTGGTAGTTAAAAGAACTAGCTGCAATTTCTTTTTTTACTTATTTTTTTCTATCTGGTTTTAAATTCTTGAACAAAACTGCCCAAACTGTGAAAACAACGAAGATCTTACCTGTACCCGAGGCCTGGGCTGAATTACTGGGAGCAACATCCCTAAGGATGCTGCTGCCTCGGAACTCTCTGTGCTTTCAAATCTCCAGTCTGTGTCCTTACAGACATTTTTACAATATCCTTATTTTCTCAGGAGCCTCAGTTTTCAAATCAAAGTTTATTAAAATGTCAAAAATAGAACTTACAGTTTCACATATGAAATAAGAGGGCGTACATAGGACAGGCCTTTAGTAACAAAATAGGTGGATAATGCTTAACAAGCTAAAGCAGGTAGGTGACATCACCGGTCATTAACATACAATCTCAGGTTAAGGAGATCTAAACACTAATGCAAACATGCTCATAATTATCTATCAAAGGGGAACAGTTCAGTCCAGAGCGGAGAAACTCCATCGGGAGAGGGAACCAGATGCATCTCAGCAGCAGAGACTGGGGGAGGCCTCTCCAGTAGCCACGGACTGGAGCACACCTAAGATGAACCAAACCATTTCTGGAGTAACGTGGTCTTTTTAAAGCCTCATAAATCCAAAAGGAGCTGAAGAAGGCCCCGTCCTGGACCCTGACTTGTTGCTGAAGGACAGAAGAGCCCCTTGGGCAAAGGCTCCTGCTGGAGAAGTCCTTGTTCCCATTTATTTGCCAGGGTTTGCTGCTCAGTTCCGAGGCGTCTCTCCTTCTCCCATCAGTAACTGCCTCACTTCTGGCAAGTGCCAGAAAGGAACACATGAAAGACTTAATACTCTGAATCCTTAATTGCCCTTTCTGTTAAAAATTAAATACTTGATTCATCTGAATATCCAAGAAAGACAACATAAATACAAAAGCATGTACATAATAAAAAACATATACTGACTTTCTTACCCATGACCGCTCAACTGGCTACTGGAGAGTGACTAATTATTTCTTGTTCTAGCTTACCAGCTGATTCCTGAAATTCCATCCCTCCTCCCTATCCAGTACCTTGGAGACCCTGGAGAGCTCACAGATGGTTTGTGATGCAGCTGAAGCCCTTCCCCAAGCTCTGCTCTTCTCACTCCTCCTGCCTGTTGCAGTCAGAAGGTGGCACGAGGCACCAGTGGCCATTCTTGCTGCTCGGGGTGGAATCCAGAATATCCTTCACCCCACAAAGGAGTCCTCTGCGTGCTTCAAACTATGCTGATCCTTAAGGGGAGAGGAAACTAATTTGTTTAATTCTTTCTCAAAGGTTACCCCCCAACCTTTCGATGGCGCACGGGGGTGGCCACAGCTTTGGGGGAACTCGTTACGATGAGATTTCTCCATCTTTGTACAGACACAGGCCAATTCCTGGTGATTAAATCAACTGGACAGCACTGGATTACTTCTAAGACAAGCTGAACACAAAATACAAATCGTAATTCAGTTCAATACATTAATCGTAATAATAAAAAAAACCCACCAAACCATGAAACAAATCACCACAGTCATTTAAAACCACAAGGCCATGGGTATCATCTGCCAGCAGCCAGGCCCTTGTGTGCGGCTACACCCATTAAAAAGAGTCAAAGTTCCTGCTAGTGACTCTCTACCAGCAACAAAAATGTATGAAACCCTGGTAAAACCAGCCAAAACTGCCACGAAATGAGATGTTCCAGTCCCGAATGTCATCCAAGCTGGGGCACGGCCGATGGCACACATTTGTGCTACATCATCAGAGATACTTTATTAAAGTTGTAGAAAAAAAATGTAAGAAGCAGCAGCAGCCACGTGCACCTCTGAGGCACCGCTGCCTGCGACGCCCCACGGCCAAACGCCGCCTCCTCCCTCTCGTTAGTGTCCACTAATGGCTTCATTAAGCACCTTTCTGCTGTGAAGGGGGCAGGGGCTGGGTTCCAGCTGTAGGATCTGCATCAGCTCGGCCCCGATGTCCCTCAGATCACACCCTGTCCCCAACCTTCACCTTCCCATTTATCCCGTGGTGCAGGACTCTCCCATTGACTTGATAAAGGCAGCTCTAGAAACCAGAAAGCTTTTCTGAATCGGCACAAAGGTGAACAATGGGAAGGAGAGGAACGTAGAAACCAGAAAGCTTTTCTGAATCGGCACGAAGGTGACCAAAGGGGAGGAGAGGAAACAAACCCTGGAGCAGAGAGAACCTGCTCTGGTTTCTCTCACTGCCACGGAGCAGCTCCCATTGTCCATCCCAACTCCTTTCACTTTAAGGGACGACGAGGTGGGAGCAACCAAAGGTTTTATGCATCACGTGAAGCCCGTTTTTCTAAAGGCATCTCTTACCCAGGGTTAGCAAATCATTATCCTTTATCAAGACGAAGGTATAAATCTCATTCCTAGCAGAAATCCAGCTCCAATCCCTACTTTGGCTGAGGAGGCCATTCCCTGTGCAAACTTCCAAAATGTAGGGTTTATTCCCTCTTGGAGCCCCCGGGTCAGGCCAGGTCCCTGCACACACCGGCCCGTGGAACAAACTCCCTGACACTGGAATTTAATTTTTGTTGCTAAGGCACGAGGCACCACAGAGTCCAACTCCCTCCACAAGGATGTGGACAATGAAAACACTTTGTTGACTAAAATAAGCAAATATGATTTAAAGACACTCAGGGAGGAATCCTGGGGCCATTTTACACAGCAGGTTCGCCCCCACCCCGCTCTGTCACTGAAACAGCAAGTCAAATAATTGTACAAAAGGACAATTTTTTGTTTGGAACTCTGTTAGAAACCTGTATGTGAAAGTAAATGCCAAATCAATCCCCAGTGAGGACAGACCTGCTTTTGAAGTGGGGAGAAAATACTGTTTTATACAGATGCTCTTATAGCATCCAGATCCATGGATGCTGGATCTGGTCCATGCAACCAGATCTAACTAAAAATCAAACACGCTGCAAAAAAACCCCCTAAAATACAGAAATTGTAGGCACCTTCCAGCACTATGATACCAGACGTGCTGCGCCCTGAAAGCTCCAGGCAAAATTTCTGCAAGAGGATATTCCAAAGTGCCAGCCTCACCCGGGAGCACATCCACCCCTGAAAGTCTTCTTCAGAACTGAAATTTCACAGACAAGCTCTCATTTCTTGTTTCTGGAAGAAAAACTCTCCTCTAAAGCATCTTCTTCATTCACCTGGTAAAAGAGACACCACCAACAAGCCTTTGTGTCCACCCACCAAGGGGCACCCCGTGCCCTGCCCTGCCGGTGCCTTGGCTCCAAAAGCTCGGGGTTTTGGCAAATCAAGTGGTGACCCCGTGCCCTGCCCTGCCGGTGCCTCGGCTCCAAAAGCTCAGGGTTTTGGCAAATCAAGTGGTGGGGGGGGAGAAATGGAGAGGACTCAGAGGAACAAGCAGGTGGGAAAAGCCTTTCCCTACAGACAGGTGGGCACCTGGCAATTCCCAACATTCCAGCCCCGTGATGGGACCCCCAGGCTCTCTGCAGCTCCAAACCTCAGCTGGACACACTGGAAAACTTCCACTGGACTCGCGGGGGCCGGGTGCCTTCATATCTTGGAGAACAAAAATTTTACAGGACTAAAGCCTTAACACAAACCAAAGTCCATCCGAGTCTGTCCTTCCCAGAGCCAGATCGAGCTGGGGTGGGTTTCGTATATTAAAACAAAAAAAGAAAGAAAAAAAGATTTCCATAGGAAACTGATTACCATTTTCTCCCCTCCCCTTTCTACTATTTTGGCACAAACACGTACGATACTCAAAGCAGAGATAAAGAAACAGATAACTGGGTAGCACTGACAAAGTTACAAGACTTATTTGGCAAATTTGAACCATAAAAACAAGTGCTAAGGTTTGGGTTTGGTTTTTTTCCAGTTGTGGCAGTTGTTTGCTGTGACAGTGGCTGCAGGGAAAAAAAAAAAATATTAAACAGTCTGGATCATGTCTATTTAAAATGAATGCTTTATAATACAAGTAAATACACACTCTCCCAATTTCTCCAGGCAAAACCACATCTCAGAGTGTTTCAATCAGCTGAAATATGTTTGAAACAGAGGGGGTTTGTGTCTGAGATGTCCTGGTTGATGCGCAGCCAGGTGTGACAGCAGGGGACAACCTATTCAATATTGTGAGAATGGCAGCAAAGGCCTGGCCACTTCTGTCCCCAAGAGAAGAGCCAGACACAACGAAGCCCCTACGACTTCAGGAGTGGCAGATACCGGTCAACGTGCTGAGAAAACAGAATTCAAACTTTCTGTGGTTGATGCAAACAGACCAGGCAATAACAGAGGCTTAATGTGTCCAGCAGGAGCTTCACAAACGAGTGTCTCCCCGTGAGCAGCTCGGGGCAAGAGTTGCTGCAGCAACATCAAAAGGAGCCTCAAGTTTGGCCTTTTGCTTCGTGTCAATCCATTCCAAGAGCATCAGGACCATCAGCCACATCCCTCAGGCACGAAGCAAGACTCTGCCTCCTCCTCAGCAGTCCAGCAAGGGAAATCCATTCCTTTTGGGAACATTACTGGGGGAATTAGTCCTTGTGTGTGCTTTAAATGCTTCCTTTTCCCCTTTCTGCTGCGAACCCGGGTGGGTGGAGAGAGGAATTGCATGAGCAAGAGCCATCCCACCATCCCACGGCGTCTGGCTTCTCCGAGATGCTCCAAGACACGGGCCTGGAGTGGTGTGAGGCAAAGGGAAAGGTTCCTCCGAGCCGGGGGTGGCTCCTGGTGCTCCGAGGGGCAGGGAGCCAGCGGGGGGGACACGGCGGGGGGCAGAGCACGGGCTTCTCTCTGCTGAGACACAGTCCAGGATTTTGAACTTCAGATTCCAACTGCAAGGGCCCACAGCATCGTAACCAAAGTGCTGACAGTTTCAGTGGAAGTGGCTTAAAATGGGTATTTAGTTGAAAAAACAAAACAAAACGAAGAAAACCCACTTTTTTCTTTTTAGCAATTTTTTTTTTTTCTCTCTCTCATCACTCCAATAACTGGGAATTTGTTTATTCTGCACTGTGCGTTTTGCTAAGGGTTAAGCCAATTTTCCAGAGTCTTTGTTTTGCCCCCCCTCCTCTCCTCACCCCCCCAGGAGATGTTTCCTTAGGAGACGCTGGAACAGCGGATACTGGGGGAGCCCATCTGTGTCAGGACCTTGTCCAGCCACTGCAAAGGCCCATTAAGATGCAGCTCAATCCAGCAGGGAGTACTGGTCACAGTTTGCCGCCTGCCAGAGAGAAGGGGTTGGGGGAGGGAGAGAAGGAAAAAGAAAAAAAAAAAAAAAAAAAAAGAACATAAATGTGACTTACAAAACTTTACAAACGTGAAAAGGTTTCACAGCTACCGGAGCATTCCTTCCTGCTGAGACAACAGTCCTGCACTTGGGGCCCGAGGAATGTCTCTCTCCTCTCTAACATGCTTTTTTGGCCGACGCTGCCAACTTCTGGTAAAAACACCGTCTTTTCTCTTCACATTTCTCACCATCCCAACGGAGCAACTCGCTACAGAACCTATTTACTCCTCAAGATTCCTGAAAACAGGCAGCATCTGATTCCCCGAAGAGAAAGGAAGGGGTTTATCCCAGCAAAATTCCTCAGTTTTATTTCGCAGACCTTGCCTCTCCTAATTAGACAGCAACGGAAGCACTTTACCAACTATGTTAAATTTCTCTGTCATAGAATCATAGAATCATCTAGGTTGGAAGGGACCTTAAAGATCATCTAGTCCAACCATCAACCTAACTCTGACAGACAAACAAACAATCAAACAATCAAAACAACCCCACACCCCTAAACCATATTCCTGAGGACCATGTCAACCCGTCTTTTGAACACCTCCAGGGATGGTGCCTCAACCACTAGAATCTAGAACCACTAGATAATAGAATCATTCAGGTTGGAAAAGACCCCTGGGATCATCAAGTCCAACCATCAACCCCACTCTACAAAGTTCTCCCCTACACCATATCCCCCAACACCACATCTAAATGACTCTTAAACACATCCAGGGATGGTGACTCAACCACCTCCCTGGGCAGCCTATTCCAGTCTCTGACCACTCTTTCTGTGAAAAACTCTTTCCTAATGTTCAGTCTAAACCTACCGTGTTGGAGCTTGAAGCCATTCCCTCTTGTTCTGTCACTAATTACCTGGGAGAAGAGACCAGCACCCATCTCTCTACAATGTCCTTTCAAGCAGTTGTAGAGAGTGATGCTTTTTACCACACCTTTAGGTTTTGGCAGAAGGTGGAAGTGATGGAGAGGTCCCCATTTAGCCGTTCCCTCAGAGCCCTCTCCCTTGTGTGGCCGGAGCTGCCCCCGAGCATCCTTTCTGCCCCATTTGGGAGGTTTGAACCCTGCCCAAGCTGGGGCCGGGGCGCTCCTGCAGACTGATGTTCCATCACCCAACGCTGCAGAGCATAAAAAGTTGGAAAACCCACCAGAAAAACAGAAACTGCCCGTTTTAAAACCCCCTCAAGAGCTGGCGGCTGCAGGCAAGTGTCCTTTCAAGCAGTTGTAGAGAGTGATGCTTTTTACCACACTTTTAGGTTTTGGCAGAAGGTGGAAGTGATGGAGAGGTCCCCATTTAGCCTTTCCCTCAGAGCCCTCTCCCTTGTGTGGCCGGAGCTGCCCCCGAGCATCCTTTCTGCCCCATTTGGGAGGTTTGAACCCTGCCCAAGCTGGGGCCGGGGCGCTCCTGCAGACTGATGTTCCATCACCCAACGCTGCAGAGCGTAAAAAGTTGGAAAACCCACCAGAAAAACAGAAACTGCCCGTTTTAAAACCCCCTCAAGAGCTGGCGGCTGCAGGCAAAGAGCAGAGGAGGACGCCTTGCTGGGTCAGCACCCACCATGCTCTTACCCTTCCCTGCACAAAGCACCCTCTCCCGCTCCTGTCTGCCTTCTCCATGAGGCCAGACCCCCTGGAGGGTCTCCAGATGGTAAAGCAGGAAGAGATGGGAGACCAAGGCCCAGGCCCAGGGATGGCCCAAGTCTGGCTGCAGGCAGAGAGGCAGGGACAGCTGCTGTGGAGGAGGAGGATTACGAAGACAGAGAAATAGCCTGGAAACGGCCTTGTTTTACACCCTCGTTTCCTGCAGAAGTTGCCCTTGGAATCTGTTTGTGGGAGGGAGAAGCCAAAGCCCGTGGGGCCTGGGGAGAAAGTGCTGCTGGAGAGGGGACCCTCTGCTCCATGGAGGTCCCACAACCACCCGTGTCCCTCTGTGGAGGAGGAGGATTACGAAGACAGAGAAATAGCCTGGAAACGGCCTTGTTTTACACCCTCGTTTCCTGCAGAAGTTGCCCTTGGAATCTGTTTGTGGGAGGGAGAAGCCAAAGCCCGTGGGGCCTGGGGAGAAAGTGCTGCTGAAGAGGGGAACCTCTGCTCCATGGAGGTCCCACAGCCACCCGTGTCCCCTCAGGGCAGGGCAGAGGCTCTGGGGTACAGCTCCATGAGGCTTTGGCCAAGGGCTGTAACCCGTCCTGTTGATGAATCTGTGTCTCTCATCCTTTGAACTGGGCAGGACAGCAGGTCCCTGCCCATTCCCAGCCATCTCCAGCTCCAGTGATGCCCCAGGAGTGGGTGTATGGGCAGAATCTGTCCCATACAGGGACTCAAGGGTGAGTGTTTGCCATTAGAGAGTGCCTTGGGAGCTGTTGGGCACCGAGCAGCCCAACCATGGCCCCAGTGACACTGTAGAGAAACCCACTGCTGGTGGGGCTGCCACGCTTGAGCCCTCTGCAAATCTATCCCGGCCACCTCCATTCTGCCTCTCCACCTTCACCACCAACATGGTGGCTCCAGCCCTTCCAGGAAGGCAAACCCCCAAAGCTCTCCATGACTCCAGCTCATCAGGAGGAGAACCTCTGTATCACGGGCTGCTTATGCACCTTCTCCCCCCACGTTCCCCCCCACCAAATCCCTGGCACACAAATGTATCACGGGCTGCTTATGCACCTTCTCCCTCAACATTCCCCCCACCAAATCCCTGGCACACAAGAGCACTGAACACCCCATCGATGAGACAGCTCAAAAAGGGGAAGCTGCAGAACCAGAACTCCCTGGAGCGGCGCTCTGCACGCAGAAACGTTTTCGTATAGGGATGGGTTGGACAAACACCCGTGCTCTGACAAAGGCCATGAGACGTAGTATTTTGTGGCAAGGAAATGAGGGAGCGGGAGAGGAGCCCGGCGCGGCCGGCGGGAGCGTAGGGTTTCACTGCCTACAATGCTCTAATGAGATCCTCGACTTTCCGTAAGTCGGGCTCATCTGGATCTCATTAGGAGCCGTGGCTGCAAGCCAGGCCTGAAACGCTCTGGGCCTGGCGGGGCCAAGGAGAGTTTCAAAACAAAATGGACTCCAAACATCTGGAGAAGTGAAGGAAAGCGGGAGAGCACCGAGGCAGGGACTGCACCCGCAGCTCCCAGTAAAGCCACAGATTTAAAGGGTAGAGACACTCGAGTAAATATTTCAAAATCACATTCGGCTTAAATCCTTGGGAGCCTTCTCTCTCATAAAACGACACTGGTTTTCCAAGGAGTTTCACCTCCCCCACGTGTACTATTGAACACTGATTTCACTCCCTGTGCTACTCGGGGACGTTGCTTGGGGATACAGCAGAGTGACAGCAACACGGGCTCTGGAGTGCTCCATCCTCACACTGTCTGTCCCCGTGTCCTCAAAATAACCTCCTCAGTGATCCCAAATGTCAGACCCTACCACATCTCCTGCTTTATCTTCAATATTCCCAGAGAAGCTGTGGCTGCCCCATCCCTGGAGGTTGGAGGGGGCTTGGAGCAACCTGGTCTGGTGGGACATGTCCCTGCCCAGGGCAGGGGGTGACACTGGGGGAGCTTTAAGGTCCCTTCCAACCCAAACCATTCCATGATTCCATGATTCACTGGGAAAAATAGCAACCCTGTTTCTCCCACTGCTTCCCCTCACATTTAAGCAATTGCCCAATGACAAGGTCTAAGGAAAGGATGAGGAGATTTAACTATAATTTTTCAGCAACTCTAACAGTTCTTCCAAATATAAGTTTTCAAGCCAACCTGCTCTTATTTATATCCCATTAGTCCCTCATCTAAGAAGCATCAAACCCTACTCATATCTATTAGGAAGCACTCCCATCGATCTGTCCTGATAACAGCGTAGTCATAAGATGCTCAAACTATCAAATACACATCTCATTTTAAGAAAATATACATGTAATTTAAAAAAAAAAAAAGAATAATAGCTCCTACACAGGCCATCTGGATTTATCTACTGCGCTTCAGATAAAGCTTTTAGTTTGTACAACACTGTGACCAAGTACAGGTGGTCTTCCAAGTGTGTCACCCCACGTGTTTTATACAAACAGGATGGGAAAACCTAGAGGGGAGATGGACATGTCCTCAAGAACCCAACCTCCTCGTGCTGCTGAGGAGACACAGGGCTAATTTCCCCCGTGTTAGTCAAGCAGCTTTGCAGAACACCATGAGATACAGGAGAGGCACCAGCAAACACAAGCATCGTGCAAAGTGTCACGGAAAAGGCCTGACCTGTATTCTGCTCCCCAGCCCTTGACAAAGCTCATTCGGATGGTGCACATCCTGGTCAGCTGGTAGACGGCTTCGAAGCCCTGGTTCACCGACTGCGCCAAGAGAGCGGCGAACTCCTGGTTGTTAAAGATCTTCAAGTTACACCCTGTGAAAAAAAGAACATGGGAAGAACAAGGCATGAGCTTAACGAGATGAAGAAATCCATTTCTTTCTGAGGATGGAAAGAAACTCGACGCCTTTTTCCCATCTTCTCAGCCCGTGTGACACTCCACACAGATTGTTTAAACACAGCGTTTCAGAGAAAGGAATCAAGGTGGCCACATCTCCACAGCTCACACGCTGCAAAGGAAGAAAACCATGTCACAGGACACAGAATGAGGAATTCTAGTGCCCACATCTATGAGACCAGGCTTGGGACCCTCATGTGGAACCCTCCTCACAATCATTTCCCTCATATTGTAATTTAGAAGCCTCATTATGACCGTAACATTTAACAACCACAGTCGCTGCGGGGCCTGAAGGAAAGGAACGCACAGGCTAAAACCAGGAACTCACTGGTGTTGGCTTCTCATGGTGTCCCTCAGCAGGAGCAATGGAGAAGTTCTGCAGTGAGACCGCCCTGGCAAACCAGAAACCAGTTACGGGGGTAAAAAAGGCTGGTTTCAGAGCTGCTTCTGCTAGAAACCTCGC